TTGGGACTGGGGTAAGTCTTTGCAGAGGTGTGCTGTCCCTTTTTTCCTAGGCATAAGGACCTGTGGGAAGACCTTAAACAGGCAGAAATTTCACTACAAAAAAAAAAAAAAAACAGATACCATTAAAAATTTTCTGCTTTGACCTTGGATTTTTCTACTCACTCATATTCTTAACATATCACTGGGAAGAGACTGCTGTTTTGTGGCTACCCATAGTGCTGAACATTTTCTGTAGTAAAGGATATGGGACAGGACAACACTGCCTAAACATGAAGTCTGTAGCTTCTCCTTATTTATATATATGTGTGTATGTATTTCATATGTTTGGTTTGGATTTATGAACTAGTTCTAATTTTATTCTCTTTAAATGTGTAGAAAAAATATATGTGGAGACATTGTTGGTACACTGTGCAAAATGTCTCTCTGATGATTATTCTGCGGAGCCGCGGACGAACGACACGCCGAGACGGGTTCAGTGTGGGTGATAGAACATCAATCAACGTGTGTGTTTATTGGTCCAGGGTACATATATTTATACAGACTATGATAATTATTATGCCTACTAGTCACTAGCTGATTGGCTTAAGCTCCAAAGGTCGTATTCGCACGGTCCACCCACCTGCAGTTAGCTTACAGCACAAGCCTCTCACAACACTAAGTTTCTCATGCTACTATTTCTGATTCCTGTTGACTTGTTTTCAATACACGACAGTACCGTAACACAATGTTTCTCAGACCACCATTATCATAACACTGGGTTTCTCAGACCACTATTCCTAATTCCCCTTAACCTGTTTTCGACACACCACGGTACACAGGGCTGAAGCGTCCTTGACATTCCTCCTGTATCAGCAGCTGTGAGCAGCTGCAGGCAAACCCTAGTGAGGCTCAGCATCAGCAGCTAGAGCAGGCTCTGATCATACAATTGCTCGGTGGGCTCAGGACCCTTGTCTCTGAGCCATTCTCCAACAATTCCCCCTTTTTCTTTTTGTATGAGCAGAGCCTGCGCTAACGTTCGTTCAAAGATTTTCTTAATACATGACAAGGCACAACTCAGGCATGCAGGCTTACAATCTACTGGCTAAAGGCACAGAACCCTTGTCTCTGAGCCATTCTCCAACATTATTCCATTATCAGAATTAAATGCATGACTTGTCAAACATAGCTGTTTGGCAACTAAACCTCTCTTCTGTGTGGGGAAAAAGCATGTTTGCTAAATTTGTATTATTTTTAGTGTTCACAGTAATTGGGTTATCATTTTAATTATTTTTTTTTATCTCCCCCTCCCTCCTTCTTTTGTAGGTAGCATTGGTACATCCTTTCAATGCCACTCAATCCATCAAGATCACATTTGTAATGATGACAGTGACAAGGTGAGGCTTACATTTCCTTCAGAAAATGTATATGCACTGGGGTTTTTTATGTATTGCTTTCTCTATACAAAGATTGTTTGTTTTGCAGGTATAGCAATCAGTTTTCAAAGTTACTCTTTGAACTGTGTCTAGCGTATTAAGAAATATGTTTTACTCAAAACAATCCTTTAGTCACTTAAGGAGAAATTTGTCTTCGGTACTGTATTTTTCTTTTTGCTTGTATCCCATTTGTGATTTGCCATATTGACACCCTCACAATTTGCTTCTGACTTCAGAGATTAGAACCTAGCTAAGTGTTCAAAGCCTTTTTGCAGTAGCTGTATTTTCCTGTTTTGGAGTTGGAACTTAAGATTTTACAGATAGAAAGCTTCTGTTCAGTGCTGCAGCCTTAAAATACCAACCTGTCTAGTAGTCTGCAAGCATTTTCCTAAACTTTTTTTGACACGTTCTTAGATTAGCTTGCTTTGAGACCATAGAGTGCTGGATGTTGAATGTTCAATGATACTTGGTCAGTAATGTAAGTGTGGCCTACAGAAGGGAAAAGTTTTTACATTGAACTGCTTGTAAGACTTGCTTTAATGTTCCTGTTATTGTTGATAGTTCTACCTTAAGCTTTATTGTCTGTAAATAATGCAAATTGATTAACATTAGTTCAGCATGTAACATGTATAACATTGTTTGCACATATAACACTTCATAGTAAACTAACTTTTTGGTATGACATGCCTGGAAAAAGGCATATTGTATTTGTCAAATTTGAAATTATCTTTCTTGGGAAGTGGAATGCGACCTGCATGGCAGTGCCTTGATTAGTGCATAAATCCTTGTGTTTTGAAATTCTGGAGTAAGCTAATTTTATAGTTGTTCCAGCTTATCCTAGAGCTAGATTTGTTTTCAGTGCAGATTTCTTTTACTGCTCTACTTCCTTGTTTTCTTTTTTCCCTTTCACTCTTTTTTTCCTCCTCTGTTTTTTTAAATTTAATTTTATTTTTAGCTACCATCCTAGATTTGAGGCTTGGTTTAACATATAGATAGTAGTCAGACATGCTATCCATGGCAAAATATTTTAAGTTTCCAGTTGATTAGCTGGTTAACTATTTTCAGTTGTATTCACTGCTTTGTTTTTTGGTCCTTGTATACTCTGTTCTTGGAAGATTCTTGTATGAGAAGCAGGTGGGAGAAATTTCCTTCCAGAGTCATCCTAGTACACCAACTTAACGCTGGCGTTCCCTTTTAACATTCTTCCTGTTCTGTCATTACATGGAAGATCACCTCTGTGTTAGATTGATTGTCTTCCCTTTGTTTTATTTCATATCAGAGTAATTAAAACTAGTTTAAGTCTTGTTGGAAATTCTGTTTATTAGGTGCTTCACTTGGGAAAAAGGAGTAGGAAGGGGTGTGACAGCTTACCTGGTTTAAATTTCAGAAGAGTGAAGAATTTCAGAAGTAGCCTTTTGAGTTGTTTGGCACACCACCTGTGTCCATAGTAATAGAGGAACTAGGCCACAACTTTGCTTTTTGCATATTTAGGGATGGTAGGAGAAAACAATCTTTCTCAATGGTATTGATTCTGCACCAAATGAGAACTCCCAACTGCAAAATCTATTGATTCTGCACCAAATGAGAACTACCAACTGCAAAAGCTATTGATTCTGCACCAAATGAGAACTCCCAACTGCAAAAGCTGACTAAAGTGAAACTTGTATAAAAAGCAGGAACAATGCCTTTTGGATGTATTTCAAAGATTTGTTTTCCCTCAAATGCCAGTTTAATTTGGTAGGAGCTTTGATTTTTCTATGAGAATACATGAAGCTGTTTGCCTTGCATTTTGTAAGAAATTCTACTTGATCCCTTAATTAAAATGACCACTTGTTTGGAAAATCAGTGAATAACCTTCAGAACAGACATCTGTGCTCTTCTGAGATGTGCCACTAAACTCTGCTCTTGTTTTAAGAGATGATCCAGCACTAATGCTCAGTTAGTGTCACTAGAGGGTATAGGCTGACTGGATATCTGTTTTTCTGTGTTTTAAATTTTTGAAGGGCTTGTGTATATAGATATACTGTTTGGGGTTTTTTTAATCGTAAGTAGTGCTTCCTAAAAGCAACTGGTTACAGTACTAGGGTACAGTTGCAATTCACTACTACTTTTCGCTTGTATTTCACATATGCCTGGTTTTTTTGTGTCAGTTTTTGAACTGGTTAATCGTTTCCAGTGTGAATTACTTTGAAAATAAGAGTTCTGATTTATTCTGCCATTACTAAGAGACAGCAACTGTTCATTTTGGTAGGAATATAATTTAAAGTGCAGGATTTGATATGTTTATCTAAAATTTTTTATTAATTGTTGGACTTTTTTGCATTAATTCTAAAAACTTTATGAAAAGCATGCCTTCAGAATAGTTTGACATATCTTTGATCAGTCAATACACATGTTTTAGTGAAATAATTTACTGATCTGTGCCTGACCCTGTATAACCAGTTTTTGCATTACAGGAGAAATGTAAAAGAAGGTATTTGACTGGCAATCTGCGTATATACACCACACATTTTAAAGGAATGTTGTAACCTTAACGCAAACAATTCCCATGCTTCCACCTGTTACTTGATTTTGTTAACTTGGCACATGAGAATCTTGAATTCATGTTCAGTGACAGCCGGAAAATGGAGTCTTAAGACTTTTCATGTGCATCCTCACTCCATTAAGAAGGATGTGTCATTGTTGAGAGCATTATTGGTAATACTAAGAACCTGTTTAACTTCATAGCATCAAAACTAGGATTTTGCCTCTTGTCTTATGAAAAGATCTATTATGGCCTAGATACAGAGTACATTTCCCATTTGATTTGGTGTTGTGAAGTGATTATAATTGAAATACATCTTAAGATATTTGTTGCTTTGGAGGTGGGAACTTTTAAGCCTCTGTGCATGGGTCAGGGGACTCTTTTTTCATGTTTGTAATTTATTTGTTTTTTCCTTGACGTATAACATGCTGTATATGTTTAATACCTATGATTTTTAAATGAATTAAATACCTAAAGCTGGACTTGTCATTCTTAAAATATTAAATAACAGAACTGAATAAATTAATTTATGGAGCATAACATTTAAGGAAGGGCATTTGTAACAAGGAACTACTATTCCTTGGAGTATTACTTTGCTCTAATGCCCAAGCAGTGGTTTCCTACTAGTGTTAAACAGAGAGATTGATGCACGTGTATTATCCCACAGAACATTTCAATCGTACTCAAGTTATTTAGCCTTAAAAATATTTTTTGTCCTTTGAGTGGTTGTTTCACCAGTGTTTTTACTTCTATTAAATAATGCACATTCAATTTGAAAAGAAACTCCAAAGATGCAACTCCTAAATACTCTTGGGACATCTCATTTCAGAGTTCTCATCAAGTTACCTATTCCTTAGTTCTCATGCAATTAAAAACTAAATTGACTATCCAGTATTTATGAAAAAAATAATGCACTATGGGAGCAATCCAGTGGAATTTTTTGACTACCACTGAAGGGTTGGAAAGTAATATTACCAGATGTTTACCTTTACTTCTTTTCAAGTTATTTCTATTTATTTTACTTTCATAGTATTACTGATTCGTGGAATAAAGACTCCACAACCTTTAAGGTTGTAAAGTAGGTATGTTTATTCGGTACCAGGTGCACGGGGGGTCGCTCCACCACAAACACGAACACCCATATGACTCGGGGTTACTTCCTGTATGCCCAGAACGATACATATTCATAAGATGCTTATACATATTCATAGGCTTTCCAATAACTCATTTCCATATGTCCCGCCTTTGTCTCTTCTCTTCGCACCTCCGCAAATCTTCCTGGTGGTCGTGGACCGGGGTCTCAAGGATGAAGTAAAGCTCCCTCTTCTTCATGAACTTCTCAGCTTTTATCTCTGGCGCATGCCCTCTGGGCCCCTGTCACCACATTCCCGCAGCTACAACTCTGGCGCCAGCCCTCTGGTCCCTTGGCACCCGTCCAACCCACGGAACCAACCCTCCCCTAGCAACTCCCACGTCTTACCAACCAAAGGGCATGTTTTAACAAACAATCTTATCAAACAAACGGCATGTCAAACGGCATGTCTCAAACCCCCAGGTGCTAGTTTCTCTCCATCATTACTGCTATTAGATTTGGTTTCTTATAGTATGTAAGGAATTTCTTTTTGCTTGGTACTTATGATCCAAATACATAACTACATGATTTGATTCACTATTTCTAACCTTTAAATTTCCCAGTTACAGTTAGTACATTTTCCATTTTGGAACTTACTCTTGTCTGTCTTGATGGGCAGCCAGTCCTCAGTCTGTAATCCAGAGGGCTGTCAACTCTTTAAAAAGGTGTTTTTCACAAGAAGGGAAGTGTTTTTACAAGTTCTAATCCTAAAAAAAAAAAAAAATTCCACGTTTTTGTATGCCTCTTTTGGTGGTGCAGTCAGGCAGGATAACAGTCTCATCTATAACTGAACTCAAAATGATTCAGTAAACCAGGTATTTTAAGAAATGTCCATCACATTTATTTATATGTGATCCATAAAATCTACATGCACCTCTTGTGGGTAATGTGTGGGGGACAATACATCAAAAAATGGGAATATTATAAGGGTTTTCTTTTGCCCTCTCCCATTTCTAAACTGGAAAAAAACATTCTTGTCAAACTAGGACAGAAATAATTCATGCCTCTTGGTGTGTTGTCTACCCTGCCCCCCTACTCACTCACCCCTCCCCTCTTATTTAACTCTGCCTTTTCATACTGAGTAGCTTCATGCCTTTTTAATTTAACATTTGGCAGCTGCACGGATATAATCTGCTTTTAAACCACTTTCACGCCTGGTGAGTTGTCTCCTTTAGAGCATTAATTCTTTGTATCTACAGCAGATGGTTTGTTTTCCTGGTTCAGATTTGGGAAACTTTAATTAGACTGAAGTACACGGAATGGAGGCAGGTTTGAATGATGAAAATAGGGTGGTGATATTTTATTTAATGGGAATAACTTGAGTAAATCGGTTCTGTCATACCTCATTTGTTCCCTTTGCTGAGCAGTTCTGCCTCAAGAGTCAGTCTCCTTGTGGCACTGGTAGTAAAATGCTGGTAGTTTTTCTCTAATGACTTTAGCATGTGACGTTGCTTCTATGGTTTGACTATCTAGTAAGTCTCACTCCCTCGAGTATAAGGAAAGCAGATAAAAGTCCGTAAGTATGATCTGCGCAGACTACAGGCGGCCATTGTTGAGAGGCTGGATAGCATTTCGACTGCCCCCGATCCGGTGAGTACGCCGCCAGTGCCATCAGCACGTACCGCTGTCCGCAGGCCTCGTTCCTGCCATCTCTCTTGCCAGGGCGCGAGTCCCGTCCGATGCTTCAGTCCCGCGCACGCGCCCACAGACTTGCAGGGCAACTGCCGGGAACTGTTTGCTCTGTTTCATTTTAAGCTGTGGGGACGACGGAGCGGCGTCGCGGCGGGGAGGCACTGTCGGAGCTGGGGCAGGGGTATAGCACCGAGCTGTGTCATGCTCTCTGCCTTGCCGCTGTACGGCCAGAGGGCGCGGAGCGACAAATTGAAAGTAAACAGGCACAAGAGCATGCGGGGCTCCGCTTCTGATACGGGGTAGAGCGACTTTCACCCTAGTGCACAGGCGTTTGCGGTTCTCGGATTGCTCCGTCTCTGCGAGAGCGAGGGGTTGGCTGCCTCGCCTCCTCTTCCGGCTGTCGCGGTGACGTACGGCCTCTCTGCCTCCCTTAGGTGCAAACAAAAGACGCCTTGCGTAGCTGACCGTGGGGCGGGGCTAGTTTCGTGGAGCTGGGCTGGCTGAAGAGTGACGTCACCGGTCCCCGGAGACGGCGGGGTGCGCGCGCGCGGGGCCGCAGCGGCCTGGTGGTGCGGAACATGGCAGGCGGAGGTGGTCGCGGGCCGCGGGAGCGAGCGACAGCGGCGCGGACGCAGAACGGGCGAGGAGCACGCGGACGAGTCACCGTGTGATGGGCGGAAGACGCCGGGCCGACTTTCCCGGAAGCGATCGCGCGGGCATACGGTGTAGGCCCAGGCGGCAGCAGCGGGGCACTCCGCCAATAAGACGCGAGGCGGCGCGGGAGCCAGGACGGCGACAGCGGGGGCGCGGTCCCGCCGTGCCCCACGGCCGCAGGTACCGGCGTGGGGACGGCAGGTAGGGAAGGAGGAGGGCGGCGGGCCCGGTTGGGGCGAGACCTCACCCGTACCTCCCGGTGTCCCTGACTCGTTAGAGGGGAGCCCGGCAGCCACAGGGGGGAATGGGGCAGTGGGCGCCTCGGGGAGGCTTAACGCCGGACCCGGCTCTGTTCGGCCACTGTTCGTAAAGGTAGAGGGCGAAGGAGACTGAGCGGCCTAGGCTGGGAAGCCCGAGCGGCCCCGTGTGTCTGCATGGAAGCCGTGCTTTCATGTGGGGCGGCCTGGAAGGTGGACAAGACCTCGGCGAGGTTCATTCAGGGGACATATGCATAAGATCCTGTGAAAATTGCATTATATGCAATTGCAGTTATCTTCAAAAGGTAGAGATGGAACCTAAAAGTCGGCTAACTTTCCAGAACTGATTGCTGTGTGCTGTCCTCAAGAAGACAGGCGGGTTCAATGTGCTGTGGGCAAAGAGGCAGCAAGTATTTCTGAAGCACGGAACAGCTGATTGTCCTCCCACTCTTATAGTAAAATTAAGTTTCTAGGTGTCTTTAATCTTCTCGAGTTAGTTGAGAAAGAACTGTTCAAGAAACATTGATGTTAGCAAGCATATGTCTTAGGGCATTGCTGTAGTGTTTTTCCATATATATGAGTTAATTCCAATTACTGTATAACATGAAAGGAATTTTTTTATACTTAAGCCAGAAACATGCCTCATGTTTCCTCAAGAAGTGTATTTTAAAACTGACTGTGTGTTGAGAGGTTTTCTGGAGACATCCATTTTAAGTTGTAATTGTTTATAGCAAGTAATTTGCTACTTACACAGAAGTTCACTGCACTCTATGTCAGGAGAATGTTTATGAAGGTATAGCATTTGCATCTTTAAATGGATTTTTGAGAGTCATATTTGAAGCAAATGCATATGTTCTGATAAGTTCTTTGAATGTATAGTGAAGCAACTGGAACACTAAGCTGAAAATGATTACTAATAGTCTGCCTCATTCAAGTGTTGCTTACTACTTGGCTAGGTGTTGTTGCTGATGTGTTTGTTCTCAAATAACATTTACTTAGGCAAATACTTTGATTTCATTTACCAAATTTATGGTATTTATCCACATCTGGGGGATTTTGCTATTTGCTGGCCCAACAGACTACATAACTGCTTCGCAGCACTACAGGGATGAAAAATACAAACCTTGTTTCCCTTCAGGGGGTATTGCAGCTGTGGTACTAGACACTCGGTGTTCTGAGAAAGAGGAAGAAACTCCATTTGCCTAATCGTGTGTGCAATAAGAGAAAGGAGGGTGCAGTCGTTAAAGGACAAAGCACGAGACGGAGAGCAAATAGGTGCCATGGCAGATTTAATGGCTAGTGAATGTTGATCATGTTGTTGATCTGCCTTTTTCACCAAATCTCTAGAAAAAGCACTTACGCGTACCTAGAATAACAATGTGAAGATTTCCAGGGAATTGTTACCAGGAGGTAGTACATACTGAGAGTAGTAATTGCAAGAAGTCATGTACCAATAAAAGGGACTTATAAATTAGGGATCTCAAGATTCTCCAATGTGAAACTTATTTTGTCATCTTTAACGATTTACAGAGCAGGTTAAACTATTTGATTCACATCTGGTTCAATGATTTTTTTTTTAAATAAAAGGATAGTAAGTACTAAATTGAAGTTGCAAGTTTATCAGTCCTTGTTTTGCACCTTCAGTGGTGTGGGAGTCACAGTACATAATTGTCTTTTTCTGAAATACATTGTTTTGGCTTGGAAGCTGACAGTGCTATTTGTGAAGTTTATGCATCAGCTTATCTAAATAAATTTTTTCAAGATGGTTTATTTACATTATAAGAAGAGATAATATATGTGATTGAAAGTGATATTGTTGATGATGAAGTCCAGTTACTTTTTCAACTCCTTACTAATAAAGTCTTTAAGAATTGAACAGTTTCTGTCCAAGCTTTTATTAAAGTATAAAAAAATGGTGCAGTTAGGAAGACACGTTACTTCTTCAGAGCTGTCACATATGTTTGTCCGTGGAAACTGCATGGGCTAAATTGCTAGTGAATCTAATCAGAATTTGTACAGAGCAAACCTTAGACTCCTACGGTTTTTTCATTTAATCTTTGTGTGTAGCTCCACCACCCCCTGCCCCAGAGGGATTTGAAATGTAGGATTAAGGGTACAGGTAGGATGTGAAATTCTTTTTCACTGTTTTTAGTCAGAGAGTTATTTTGACTGTGGAGGACTGATTCTTGAAATTTCTGGAAAAATACTGGTTTGACTTAACCAGTTCATGCAGAAAGATAGCTTGTGGTTTCCCTCTCTGTGCAAGCATATATACTAAATTAAATCATCTAATATGGCGTATTTAGATTCCGTTTGGGGCAAAGTTTGTCTAGGTCTCTGATTTAACAGGATGATTTTTGTGGTTTTTACCCTTTAGCTTCACCTGGCAGTGGGTAGGTTCCTCTCTTACTAAGCTCTTGAAAGATCAAGGAAACTTCCTTTGTGTTTTGGTGCCCTCTACTGATTTCTTCTAAGAGCATCAGCTCTTTAAAAACTGAGAAGGGAGAAGAAAGAAATGAAGGTGTTTTACCTCTTAAGTATTTTGCTGATTGCTGTCCAGCCAGTTTGTCTGAATTGCAGTGGAACTGTTCCTTGCCTGGTAGAAGAAAAGCTGAGCAGCATAAATCTAGTGTCTTTTATAGGCATTCTAGCTGTAAAAAGACTGGTGTCTTTGCTCTTTCCATCTCAGAACAATAGAGATTTTCTCTCTTTAATGTCTACAGTTCCTGGTTCTCAGTAAGCGTATTTTAGATTTGCTGTCCTAGAACTCCTTACCTCCTGGTTCACTTGGAATAACGTTGCTTTTTGTATTTCCCACTATGACCATAGATACTACAAAAAAGTGCAGTGCCTCATGTCAGTGCCACCATATATGCTGTGTTTTGTGTGCTTTCTGTTTAAATAGACCTTTCATCTTGTCAGTCTTGTAATTTTGTTACTGTCCCCAAAATCTGTGAACACATCTGTCCTGGGCAAGCTTAGCAACTGGAGGAACTCAGCCTTCTCCTCTCTCCAGAATCTCGTCTCTTAACCTTGTGGTCTGTCAGCTCTGGTAGTTTCTGACAGAACTGGCCAAATTTTTCTTTCACAATGCAATAAGAATAAATAATTGTATGAGCAGGGATGAGAGCATTCATGGCACACTTACAGTGCTGCTGCTGGGCAGATGCTTTGTCTGATAGTCTTCATGAAAGCTTTAGGAGATAGCCTTCTCTCTAGGCAAAAGTTAAGAACTTTTCTTCTTTATTCAGGTTACTTCTTTGGCTGATCTGTGTTGAGATAGTTCTTTAAAAAAGCTGTGATGTGCTGAATTATTTTGATGAGCTGCATTTTTGAAATCTGTTACTTTGAAATTGCTCTCTTGCAAAGCCATTTAGAACCATTTTGTTGGTAAGTACTGAGAGGGCATTTTTGTTTTGGTGTCCTTTGCTTAAGTCTCTTGGGAAAACAATGAAACTGAATACAAACAAAGGGGAAATTAAGAGATTGGAGACACAGGCAAAGAGTAGGAACACTTACTCATTTTAAATAATGTTGTGGAAGGAACTTGTGAAGATCAGTAGCAAAGTTCCAAGTGGATGAGTATGGATTTGAGAAAAATGTTTGGATGTGAACATGGAGAGCCTGGTAAGACCAATATGCATTTGGTCATTCTGTATAAGAACCTCTGCTAAGCTTAGGTTAGAGATCATATGTGAAGCTTTCTTCTTCTTTATTCTCAGTTTCTTTATTGTATGAGAGAACAGTCAGAGTACTCTTCCTCAAATTCAAATACAGAGACCTAGTATAGTGTTTGTATTCTCTGGCTCTGCTTTCAATATGTGGATGTTTACATTTGTCTGTAGCTGAAATGTGACTTAACAGTTCATAGCTGTGATGGTGACTTT